CTGGCCCCTCCTGCTGGCCTGGGGTGCGCTGTTGGTCGCTACGTGGAGGGGTTGTCGCTGGAGAGGAATTGCTGGGAGATGTGGGAGGAGGCGTCGGCCTGCTGGGGTGTTTCTCAACTCTTGCTGCATAGCCCTTCATCCCCCTCCTCCCGAGATCTCTTCTGCACTAGTGGTCACACCACCGCCATTCCCCTCACCCTCTAGCTTTGGGCTTATGACTTGCTATGAATATAAGGTCGTTCTTTGAGGGGTTGTCGCTGGAGAGGAATTGCTGGGAGATGTGGGAGGAGGCGTCGGCCTGCTGGGGTGTTTCTCAACTCTTGCTGCATAGCCCTTCATCCCCCTCCTCCCGAGATCTCTTCTGCACTAGTGGTCACACCACCGCCATTCCCCTCACCCTCTAGCTTTGGGCTTATGACTTGCTATGAATATAAGGTCGTTCTTTTCTTTTGCAATAGCTCTTGTGATTTTCATGGTCACCATAGCACTTTAGGAATCAGGGAATAGCAGGCATTCCCTCTGTGGGATCAGAATAGACAGCTGGTGGGTTTCCCTGTGTTTTATGCATCTAACAGATTTTTTTTTTCAGGGGAGGTTGTTAATTGAGCAGTATTTCTTTGTTCTTTTGTGCCTTTTAAGCCCAAACCTATGTTATAAAACAACATGAATAAATATTAACCAGGCTAGAGTTACTCATTGATTTCTGTGGGTCACATTGTGATTTTGGTTGTACTTATGTTGTCATATTAATTGCTTTGAGGGTGCACAGGTATATTCAGTTATTTGACTTTGTACTGGATGTCTGTTTTGCAGCAGTGTAAATTTACAAACAACAAGCAGTCCTGGGGCAATTTAGAGTAAGAAATATATTTGATCATGAGCTGTCATTGGATTAGGCAGCTAGTGGTTTGCACAGCCTGTGATTATATTTGTTTTCTCTTTCTTTTCTTCTCTTTCTTGCAAATTATTTTTCCTCTTTGTCATCCAGGTTCACCTCAAGGAAGGAGCTACCATTGGTGACTTTGTACATTGCCCAGTAGTATATCTGGTTGCCCATCCTCCTCTGATTTAAGGATATTAAGGACTAGTTGACTATCTGATAAGGAAATGCTTATCAGATAGTTGAATCGACTAGTTGCTTTTCTCCCCTCTCCTCCCCTCCCCGCTGGAGCCCAGGGTATGGGCTTCGTGCAGCACTGCCCCTTTGAAACGCCACCGCAGCATTTCAAAGAAGCAGCACCATGTGGCGCTCTGAGTCAGCTGGGAACTCCCCAGCTGACTCTGGGTTTCACGGAAATGCAACGGAGAGCCTGGATCAGCTGGGGAGTCCCCAACTGACTCTGGCTCTGTTCAACATTTCAAAGCAGCAGCACCGCATGGAGCCGGAGGTCAGCGAGGGACTCTGAGTCCCACGCTGACCCCAGGCTCCATGCAGGTGCTTCCACTTTGAAATGCACAAGAACCCCTGCTGGGGACTCTTGTACATTTCAAAGGAGGAATGCGGAAGTGCCTATCGACTAGTTGAATAGTCAGTGCATATTCCATCGACTACTCGACTAGTAAATTAATTGATATTTAACATCCTTACTCTGATCGGGCGCTCTCATCCTTCCGACTGGGTTGCATGCCTCTAAAGTGTATATGGCTCATCTTCACTCCCTTGGCACATCAGCTATCAGAGTCAGCAAGCTTTGCTGCTTTGGCAACCTGCCTCTTGCTGTCTCAACATTTCTGGCCTAAGAGGATGTGACCACAAGCACTGGTGGTTTCACCATTTTTTCCAGGTATCAGGAAGGGTCTGTTACTTTGACAGCTTCCTTTTTCTGCCTTGGTATGTCCTGTACTAGTCGAGTGGTTGGGACCACT